GATGATGATTGTGATATTTTTGTTTAATTACTGTTTCAGTTTTAGTGTTTTGTTGCTGATGTGATTGTTGTTGTTGTTGCTGCTGTTGTTGTTGTTGTTAATGTTTGCTGTTGTTTATCATTGTTATTTATCATCGTCATCCTCACAATCATATTACCATCATCAATGTCATCATCGTCATCGTCGTCTCTACCACCATTATCACCTTTCTAGTCATAAGCATGTAATCATCATCATCATCATCATCATCATCATCATCATCATCATCATCATCATCATCATCGTCGTCGTCATCACCACGGTCAGCAACAACAGAAACTCGAGCACATATACAACATTAATAGCGCATACATTATAAATTATACGACGCGTCATAAAGCTCAATGACCATCACAAAACATACACACTTTTTATGTTTGTTTGTATGTTTGTGTGCTTCTCTGTTGGTATGTTTGTATGCATGTATGTATGTTTGTATGGATTGTGTATGCGTGTATGTATGTTTGTATGTAGGTATGTATGTTTGTATGGATTGTGTATGCGTGTATGTATGTTTGTATGTAGGTAAGTATGTGTATTTTTTTACGTTTAAATGTTTGAACGTGTGTCTGTAAGTGTGCTTGTGTTGTACGTATATGTAAATAATCAATCATTATGTATATATGAATGCATTTATATATATAATTGTGTGTGTGTGAGTATATGTATGTTTGTTTGTATATATGTGTGTGTGTATATGTTTATATTTAAAACTAGGTGTGTAAATGTCGAAGATTTTGTATCAGTAATATTCTATTGCCGATCCATTTTCGTTATCGGCTTCAGTACGGGCAGTACTTTACTCCGTACCAACACTTTGAGCGTCACTTTATTAATGATCATTTCAATTTTCAACGCGTTTTTTCGAAGGTGTATTTCCTGGATTTGAAATGAATTCTTGACTTCTTCTGCATTTTCGTTTTTAAATACTTGCTCTCTTCCGCTTTTCACCTTCTAGTGGGTTAAAAAACGCCAAAAAATTAATTTC